TATATATATATATATATATAAATAATCACTAGGACCTATTTCTCAATACTTAGTAACTTTTTCAAGCAGCAGTCTATGTGGGCTAAACTGTAGATCATTTTCCATTTGTTTGGCACAAAATGCATTTAATGTCTACATCTTTCAAATGACTGTATATCAGGGGTGCAACACTTCTTCAGTAATATTATATTAAAATATAACATTCCTGTTTTGTAAAGGAATTGTATAAAATAAAACATAAAATGCTTCCTGTTGTTAGTGTTTTTACTAGGTCATAGTTTTATGAGTGGTAAAATGTGTTTGTTGGGTGACAACATTTGCTAGCGTTATGGAAGAATGACTTGATTTGAGACAATTGTGTTTTGGTAGTTTTAGTTCATTTTGGAAGTGAAATTTATTAAGCAATATTGAGAAGTGAAGTATTGAGAAGTGTGTCCAAGCAATTGTAAAAAATAAAATGTGATGTATTTTTAACGTCTTATATCCCGTCCACTCTTAAGGGCACTAAGATGGCCCCGTGGGCGAACCCTGAGCACTTTACCCAGAGGCAGGAGTGTGTCAACACCTTTGCAAGCTGGTTTGGTTACATGCCTCTAGTGCACTCTCAGTTTCGCCTGGACCCCGTACTGTTCAAGGACCACGTGTCCGTCCTGCGCAAGAGGTACAAAGACCTGGAGCACGTCTGAGCCAAGCTGAACAGAGTGGCGACGGGTCACAAACTGATACTGATACTGATGCTGATGGAGAGACTTATCTCTATCCCTCCGCTACTGGCTGCTAGCATGTGGTGGCCAGTTGGTGGACAAGAGACTGCTATGACCAGTTCTCAATTTATGACTGACAGCTTCATGGATGAGAAAACATCATAGATCTGTCAATCATTCCAGCTGCTGTTTGACTGGAGGAGTTTGTAGCGTTAAGGGTGCCTAATGGTGCTGTGGATGTCACTCACATGACAGTGAGTCGACAAGCAACTGACTGATCACATGATGTGGTAATTACATTACCAATAAAATTATTCCGAAATGCAAACTGTGTTTGTGGCTGTATTTGTGAAATTATGGTTTCATGTTGCTGTTTCAAGCAACTATACCTAAAACTACTACCCAACATATGGGTAGTTAATAAATAAGAAAACTAATTTTCTGTTCAACAAAGACGTTAGGTGAAAGGTAATATTCTTTGTGACAAATCCGTTAATTTTCAGACAATTTAAAGTTTAAATAGATTATTAGGATAAAATGTATATTAAAGTATATGGAAAAGTGTATTTACAGATGCACACGCAAATGATTCTTATGAGCCAATTGTAATAAATTGTTTAAAAATATTATTGAACTCAGGATTCACCAGTTACTGAATCAACATTTATTTGAAACTGAAATGAAGCTTTGTGCACTTAAAGTTTGTGAAAATTATTGTAATTACTGACTGGTTGTTCATACGATATGTAGTTCAAGATGAAATTTTGTAGTTTTATTATTGGCTGGTGTGATCATTTTTAAAGCATACACTACCGTTCAAAAGTAATGTGAAATATTATTACAATTTAAAATAACCATTTTTATATATATATTTTAAAATGTAATTTATTCCTGTGATGGCACAGCTGTGTCTAATATGCTGATTTTCTGTTCAAGAAACATTTCTTATTATTATCATCAATGTTGAAAACAGTTGTGCTGACTAATATTTTTATGGAACCTGTGATAAATGTTTTCAGGAATCTTTGATGAATAGAACGTTCAAAATAACAGCATTTATTTGAAATATAAACTTTTTAACATTATAAATATGTCTAGTTTTAGATGGAATTGTATGTTACATGGCAGAAAATGTCAATTGCTGTTAAGAATTCCTTTTTGTATTTATTTTTTCATTTTGTATAAAAGTCTTTAGTTTACAAAACCTATCATTCTACAATTCATTAGCTTCTTTTTAGACGATCGTTCCCCCAGAAGGCAGATTATTAGGCGTGTAATGCAGAGCTCAGGGAAACACACACTCTACCCGAGTACATATTTGCTGAGGAGCAGGAGTGTGAAACACATCACACAGTTCAATGCACAGAAGACCGTAGTGTAAGCACGGTTATTTACAAAGCTCAGTCCTCAGTGCTCATTTATCATGCCAACAACATGGCTAGCTTACATTATCAACATGGCTTTCACATTATTTCCTGTTTCTTATGCTAATTCAGCGCTTTGATGAAGCGGTTATTAATCAGAGCATTGTGATTTAACACTGTAAATGAGGCAGGACCACAAAGAGCTGCCGAGTCTGATCTCATTTGTCAAGATGATATATTATGTGGCATTTGCAAGAGTAGTGAATGAAAGGCAGTCTGCCATCCACTGCTATCTGTGTGAGAGTGAGAAGACCGTAGATGAGGGTTCACAGAAGATGGTCAGATGTTTACTAGGAAGCATACCACTGTCATTTTCGCATGGTGAGCATGGCATTGACGTCCCACATGAGATTCCTCATCTGGTCCATTAGCATCTTCATCTCCTGGTTCTTCTGCCTCACTTTCTGTTTAAAAAAAATTATATGGGAAGCTCAGTGCACTGTTATTACATGCATCATTTTTTTTTTTTTAAAGAAATTAATACTTTTATTTAGCTAGGATGTATAAAACTGATCAAAAGTGACAAAGACATTAATAATGTTACAAAAAATATTTTAACTAATTTCTGAACTTTCTATTTATCAAAGAATCCTACAAAAATTTATCCGTTTCCACAATAATATTAGGCAGCACAACTGTTTTCAACATTGATAATAATAAGAAATGTTTCTTGAGCAGCAAATCAGCATATCAGAATGATTTCTGAAGAATCATGTGACATTAAAGGCTGAAGTAATGACTCAGCTTTGCCATCACAGGAATACAATGCATTTTAAATTGTAATAATATTTCTCAATATTACTTTATTTTAATCAAATAAATGCAGCTGTGGTGGGCATTTATATTTATGATTCATTTATATTTTAATCTACAAATTTCAATTTCTTAATTAAAACACTCTATATTTGCAGATTAGAATAAAAAATTATGATAGCATTAAAAAGACTTTTTAAATGACAAATCCATATCTGAAAATTATATAAAGCCAAGTAAATAGGGTGATACATCTCCACTTCTCATCCACAGTTGGTTCACCCTCCACCCATGGTTATAGGGTTTTTTTTTTCACCCAAATAAATAAGCATAATATCTTGTAGGTGTACTGTATACTGCAGTGTAATAGTATGTTCAGAGATACTAATGATGAATGAAACAAACCTCTAGAACCTCCTGTCTCTCCTGAATAACCGCTGGGCTGCACGGCTCCACTCTCACAGGTGTCGTCTCTTCTCCCACATAAGGAATCAGCTGGAAGGACGAAAGCAAACACATTATTGAAATGAATATCTGTAATAATAACTGTCTCCTGAAATTGAATCTGATTTGAATGAATAATAAAAAAGTAATGAGAAAAAAAAAGTCTTGAGACCAATAATGGGAAAAGCTTTTTTGACATTTTTTGTCATTTAATGCTAATTTTAACAGCAAATTTTACAAAAATATGCATTTTCTCTCATTAAAAATGTTTCAAACTCAAACTATATTTCCAGGATTATATTCCATTTTAAATCCCATATTTCCAATGTAGTCTCAGATTTTGGGCCCTACTGTAGTATGTATATAAAAAATACCACAAGAAGGATAACAACAAAACCTCTTTTAGAGCTTGGTTTCAATATCAAAAGTAGCAACAGCACAAGGGTATAATGTTTATTTAGCAAATGCTCGATTTATTCAGCAAAGATCTGACTTGATTCCCAGATCTTGCAGCCCACAAAGGATTTTAAAGCATTTGTTGACTGTTCATGCTGCCCTGATGAAAACAAGATTCTTGAAAGAGAAAGTGTAAGTTAAATGTTGCTGCAAGCTTCATAAAAGCTTTTAATATATCCATAAACTCTGTAAGCACATTGTTTATTCAATTTACATGATAAATGCAAGTAACTTTACATGTAAATCTATTTTAAGATATGAGACCAAATGGGGTAATTGGTAAGCTGTTCATATTTCCTGCATAATTTGATATTGTTTAAAAAAAATGAATAGCATTAATTTCCTAATGTACAGCACTGTAATGAATTCAATTCAGCATGACATGTAATCTCAAATCATGTTAATACTCAACATTATCATTGTATTAAATGGTATCTATCACTTTGGCATTACCAGTATTTTGTTCATTTTAATCCTTTATGATCAATTCATGTTAATAAGTAGTATGTTATACTGCTATAAATATCTCACTGCACCAAATGGAGTATGAGTATGAGCTCCATATTCTCATAATATCATACTATATGAGCCATAAAATCCTGATGTATCAAATATGATACAAAACATAAAACACATACAATTTTTCTTGTTTTGAGAGATATATATATATATATATATATATATATGTCTAATGATTCAGACTTTTGCGTTTCAAAAAATTTGATTTTTTTTTCTGACTATTATTTCAAATGTCAGGCTTTGCAGGGTTAAAATATAAATAAAAAAGTCTATTTCCAAATGCATTCAAAATACATTCCTTTACTTTCTATAAAAATGCAGACACATATCTAAAACATCTAAAAATAGTTATTAAATGAATTTCAAGTGACCTAAGAGGCTAGTCAGAATAAGTGAAATACCCATTAAATATTTAAAGGGGTCATATGATGCGATTTCAATTTTTCCTTTCTCTTTGGAGTGTTACAAGCTCTTGGTGCATAAAGAAGATCTGTAAAGTTGCAAAGACTAAAGTCTCAAATCCAAAGAGATATTCTTTATAAAAGTTAAGAGTCAGCCACACCTACCTAAAACGGCCATTGGATAGCTGGCCAATCAGAGCACACCTCGCTTTTTCAGACCGATGAGCTTTGTAAAAATCGACACGTTTCAAAAAGGCGGGGCATAGAGGAGAAACAATAATGTACAGTATTTGGAAAATAATGTTGTTTTTTTTACTTTAAACTGCATAAACACATTTCATTACACCAAATACACAAAATAATGTTCTTTTTAGCAGCATCATATGACCCCTTTAATAGGAAAAGGGCTGAGATGATCAAAAGGCCACATGAACAAACAGAAGAGCTATATTGTGCATCAAACATCGATTAGACTCACCTCAGCTGGAGACTCCTGGAGGTCAGGTGTCATTTCTACACAGCGTTCATACAGCAGACGCAGCTTACGGAAGAGCAGTGTCAGCTGACGCAGATGCTCCTGCAGCTTCCCAAAGCGGTCCTGATACGCTGCCTGACTCTGTGTCACACCGTTGGGAAGCTAGAAGAAACACAACCAGATTTAACTATATCTGTTTCCCAAATGCACTAGCAGCTAGGTTTACGGCTTTGGGGGAAAAACGGGGCTCAAGATGTTTTATTTTTTCCAACCTTATGTTTTATTGTTACCAAATTCTGTGTTTTAGCATGTCTAATTATTTGAAAGCATAAAAACAAGTTTCATTTATTCTTACAATAGCCTTA